TTTTGCAAACATTTTGAAACCATATTTTGCAAAAACAAATTTCAACGATTGAAATCGGCTGCCGGCAACTTTGGTTTCTATCAGAGAGAGTGCATCCCCGACCATTACCTTTGTCTGACAAAGGGGCTGATCCTGTCACTATGATCACCCACTCAGATGAATTCTCAGACTATCCTAACATACCCAGGTTTTGACCCGCTCTAAGGATCTCATTGATTGGCATATCAAAGACAGCTCAATCCGATACCTAGTGCACTATCATAATCGAGTATAGGGGTCAAATGTAATTTTCCAATTTTGCCCATCAATCTCCAAGGTCTATGGCAATACTGAAAATCTGATCTGGTTCAGGGTTTCAAGTAAACCTACACTGCATGTACCTTGGGTATCACCCTGGCAGCTGAGACAGCTACCCCAACCAACTTGGCGGCACATCAGTGTCAGCCTTGGTAGGATAAATCTCCCCAGACTTATCCAACGACTGTGAACATTCTAAACTAACACGAGTCTCATATATGTACAGTTTAAGAGTATTACACAGAAACACACCACAATAACATGAATCAAATATATACTTTATTCATTTACAAAAAATGTCATAATGTGCATCATTTTGATTGGAGCTAAGGGCATACACTGTCTAACAACTTAAATATCAAATTCAAATCTACAATTGGAATCCAATCCAATTGTATCAATTTGGATATGCATGAATCCATATTTGATGTAACTATGAATGTATTGAATATGAACATATAACTTTAATCACTAAAATATAAATACTAATCATGTTTTAACTAAAAACAAGGTAGTGTGGGCAACCTTGTTTTAATTTATAAATATGTATTAATCCACAACTTAAATTTCATCCATCAAGGAGCTCATGAGCTCGTTAATAACTTTAATTGCTAAAAATAAATATATAATTTTGAAAAAAAAAAGAAGCAAAGAGATTGTGCCATACCAAACCCAAAGTCCCAAATCAAGTATGATTAGATTGGATTAAGGTTAAA